TTGGGGTATAATATTAGTTTTTATTACTTTTATAGGATATTTCCACTAGCCAAATGGCTTAAATGACACCAATTTATCTTACAGTTCTGGGAGGTCATGAGTCCAACAGGTTCCCCCAGGCTAAAAGGTATCAGCTGGGCTGTGTTTCTTCCATGCCTGTGTCCCTCGGCTCCTGGGCCTCTCTCTAAAGCCAGCAGCAGGCATCTTTCTGGGCTCACCTGTCTGTAGTCACCTCTGATCACAGACAGAAAGGTCTCCTGCTGATAAGGGCTCATGTGATGAAACTGGGCCTCCTTGAATAAGCCAAGATCATCATCACATCTCAAAGTGTATAAATCTCAATCCCAGCTGCAAAACCCAATGTGTCACAGGAAGCAATGTACCATACTCCCCAGCTCCCAAGACTAGAGTATGGTCATCTTTAGGGGACAATTATTCTCTTTACCACATACATGAAACACATCCACATTGTTCAAAATATAAATGGTATGTAAAGACATAGAGCAAAAAGTTTTCCTCCTGTCTCCATCATCATCTATCAGAGATGATTTCCTATTAACATTTCCTGGTGTTTCTATCCCAAAAGACCACAGACCTAAACAAACATCAATATGTATTAGTTCTGCCTTACACAATTCGTACCATACCATAGTAGTGATCTGCACTTTGCCCAGTGTATAGAGCCATCTGTGTCCTTTTATATGGCTGCATACTATTCCACTGGGTGGCTATGCTATAATAGATGAATCTAGTCTCCATCTTATGGGAATAAAATTGGATCCTAATCTTTTTCTCTTACAAACAATATCATAATGAACAACTTCATACATATGTCCTTTCCTGTACATGTTTGGATGGTTGTAGGATACATTTGTAAGTGGAATTTCTGGGTCCAAAGATATGTGCATGAAAAATTCCCAAATTTTCTTGACTTGTTCTCCATAGAGTTAAATCATTTTACACATACTCTCCCCACGCAGTCATACATGCCTTCAGGTTGTCAGCTTGTTTGGGCAGAGAAACCATAGCTCACATGTCTTCCAGAGGCCCACCATACCTGTTCCAGGACAAACCCAGGAAACCTTGTGGATCTCTGTTGCTCATAGTTCCTTGGACTCTTGTGGGTGACAGAGAGGAAGATGAAGCCAGTGGCCAGCAAAGAGAGCCCCAGTTCAAAGGCTCTAAATGAAAAGTGGATGTGGGCATCTCTAGCAGCCAACGTGTGGCCCTTGCACAGGCATTCTGCAGGATGGCAAGCCCTCTAGTCTCCTGTGAGGAGAGCACATTTCAACTGTGCAAAAGAGGGACTCTCACCACTGAGGGTGACAAGAGGAGGTTACAAATAGACCTAGGTTTCCAATGTTCAAGCTGCACCTGTGTTGAGAAAGACACCATTTCCTGCTCTTTATACATTCCTGATATAGATGTTGCTTCCAGTTGAATAAGCCCTTTATACACTAAAATCAATTGCAATCTCAAAGATAAGTTAAATCACTTATTCAAGAAGACATGAAAACTTTGATCTTAGCAAACCACTAGGATTTCACAGCAGCAGCTGTCTAGGGAGCCCAAAAAAGTGCTCATTTCCTCCACCAGCCTGGCCGGCCCCACCTTGGCAATGAGGCAAGTTCAAGCTGGGGATAGAACACAGGATCCAACCCACTGAGGGAGGGGGGCTTTCTCTCTGAAAAAGCATGTTGGGGCCAGAGGAGAGAGCCAGGGACTCACTCCCAGGAGCAAGCCCAAGAGCCAAGAGGACTGGAACTAGAAAGGCCTCTCCCCTGCTCTTCTCCAGGTCCCTTTGTCTGCTACTTGGCCTTTCACGTTCAGCTCAAGGGTCCCTTCTGCCAGGAAGCCTTCCCTGACCCCACAAGGCCAGGACTCAGCAGGTGTCTCTACAACATGCCCCCATTCCAGCACCTTTGGCCCTGAAATATATGTAACCTGCTGTCCCTGACATGGCCTCCCCTGGCCTGTGCGCACTCTGGGCCAGCACCTGCCACCGTGTTTGATGAGCACTGCGTGTGCAGTAAATGTTGGATGAGTGGGTGAAAGTGCACCTTAGAAGCAATGAAAACAGCAACTTTCCCTAGCAGTGGCACCCACCAACTTACTCAAATGTCCCCAGCCCTTCCAGGTGCTACCCATTGCGCTAGGATGTCCTGGGACAGCCACAGGCTTCCGATGGGGCTTCTTGCTTTCAACCCCACCCTGTTCCCGAAGCCCACAGTTTGAGCCACTCTTTTTAGTGCAAACACCACCTCCAAAAAGGCCCTCTCCCCACAGGAGGCCACTCCTACCAGTGACACTCTCCATCCCTGCAACCAGCTAGGGAAGGAGCAGGAGAGGGAAAGACAGATCCAGGCCCAGGGCTGACCAGGCAGGGCAGGCTAAGGAAGGCACTGCAGTATGCTGAGCCCTAGGAGTGGAAGACGTGACTTAAGGGTGCCAAGCTTCCAATTTAATAAATGAAGAAAAACTAGAGAGGAGCAGAGGTGACCTAAGTTAAGAACAGAAGACATGTGTGAGCCTGTAAACAAATGGCAGTCAAGATAAGAAGCACCCTAAAAAGCAGAGGAGGGTGACTCTGTGGAAGGTACAGGTTCTTCTGCGTCAGGAGTTCTGGGCCCACAACGCCTCCTTCACACTCTCAAGGGCAGCTTTGGACAAGCCAGCAACCTTAGCTGAATATACCTGAGAGTCACATCGTCTTGCACCACTGCTGTACATTAAAGAGAAGATGAGCAAAGACCTCAGGAAGCCTGGAAGCAGCACCAAAACAAAACCTGCTGTGATCATAATCCTCTGCTTTTGCAGGGCGCTTGCAGCCTGCACACAGCTTACTTAGCAGGACTCCTGCCCCTCAAAGCAACCCTGGAGACAGGTAAGGACAATTACACCCAATTTACAGAGTTGAAAATGGAGGAACAGATTGTTCACCCAGGATCATACAGATAACAAGGGGATGTGCTGATAGCTGTGTCCAGGTCTTCTAACCCCACAGAGTTCTGTTTATCATCTTCCATTGCCTAAAGGCACAGCCTCTGCCTGTGCAGGAAAATGTCCTCGTTTTCAGTCACTCTCCCGTTGTTGTTTCCTCAGTGTTCATCAGTCCTTCATGGGTTTGTTGATTGCCAAACGAGTTTCTCTGCCTGTAACCAGCTCTGCTGGAGGGGAGATGTGGACAGACTATCTTAGAACAAGAAACAGCTGCAGGCTTGGCTCAGCCTCTGATCCAGTGCAGGACTGAGGGAGAGTCCCTATTCCCCTAGTGTCCTCTAATTCCATCTATCATTGATGTTAAAAGCACTTAATGGCCCTAATCTAAGTGTTTCCAGGGAGCCACATGCAGGTCCTTTCTCAGGAAGCCATATTCCTTTGTGACAACCAGCTGTGTTCCAGGCACTCTATGAAAGTGTCCCCAAGAATCTCCGGGTCCCTGTTGGTACAGATGAAGAGCAGAATGGCCGCACGACTTTCTCCGGTCCTCGCAGCCTGGCAGTGGTGGGAGCAGGATGGAAATCCGGAGGTTGAACCCAAAAGGCCATCCTTGCATTTTGTATTGTGCCATGGGCAGGAAAGAGAAGGATACAGGAATATGTTCTGCCCACTGCCTCCCAAAAAGCCTTCATCTTCACTCTAAGCTACCTCCTGGGCCTTCCACATTTTCCTCCCCTGAATGACTGCGGTGGACTAGAAAACACTCAATTGGCGGCAGAAATCAGCCTCTAGCATCTCATTGTCACTCTACAAAAGCATTGTCTGAGGGGGGCATTGCCTGCAGCACACCTGTGTAACCCAAGAGGTGTTTCAGGCTGACATTACCAGCCTCAACCTGAACACAGGTAATGACCATGCTCATAACGGTTTCCGGTTGGAGGCTGTCGTGTACCATATCCAAACACGATTCTCACAGACCCTTTAGCCTGAAGAAGCTGGACTTGAAAACAGGAGTACAGGAAGGTAGAATTTTTCTTCCATCAAGGTTTTGCATCATGTTGGATTCCTGATCTCTGCCTGGAAATGTAAGCAGCAACTCCAGCCCCTCCAGTTTGTTCCACCAGAGAAGAGCAAGCCAGCAGCAGGGTTGGATCTGAAGCACAAGGGTCCATTCGCCCTCCACACAGGGAAGGAAGGGACTCACTACTCTCTCTGTGCTCTCACAAGTCAGCCAGGCACACTGACGCCCTCTTGCAATCTTCAGCATTCAGGCTCCTGGCCTCAACCACCCAAAGCACTCCGGATGCCCAGGCCTCTGGGAAGGGTTCTCCCTACACCATCTACTCTGTCTTCCCACTGCCCTCTAACCCTAAATGGTGGTATCCACCTCTGCCACCTAACGTTTCCCTCTCTCTGCCCCAGACCATCAACCTGCCCCACTGGTCCCTGGAGAAGACTGCATGTAAATCCCCTAGAAGGTGACCCAGCATAGCTTATGAAAGTTAGTTACTTTCCTCCCCAGGCATCGGCAGGGAGGAGGAAGAAGAAGTAATCTCTAACTGTATAATGTTGAAAACTGTGAGGGAGAAATGGAGTGAGGCTGGGGGAGGGCATGCAGAGGACAGAAAAAGCTCTGAAACAGCCTTGAAATCACACACACAGACTAGCCATGAGCTACTACTGAAAAACTGTTTTTCAAAATGCAAGAGTCCATTTCCAGATGTCTGCTTTGGGGAGCCAAGCTGCTGTTGATCTGTTCCCAGTTCACTGTGGAATGGAGTCTGAACTTCTCACCCGAGCATTTCAGACTTCTACAGTCCAGCTCCTATAAAGGTCTCTTTCCTCTCTACCCAGGAACTCCACTGAGCTGCAGACCTCTGTGCCTTGCAGGATTGCTCTGGGCTTCCCTACCTGGGCCCCTGCATGCTTGCCCTCAGGCATCTCCTCTGAGAGGAGAACCGAACTGAACAATTCCAGGGACACAGCACTTAACAGGCCACCCTAGGCCCAGTAGTCCAGGCACTGCCCACCCTCCAGGCCTGCTTCAGAGAGCCTCCTACCTGTTCTAGTCGCTCCTTCATGCTGAACTCCTTGGTGCTTAGCATCTCTGGCTCTCCTCAGGTCTTGGACACTCACCACCTCCTTTTCTCCTGATCTGGGTGGGTGGGAATAGGGACCTGGTCAGACTCTTAAATGCCCTGGGATAGTGACTCAGTCCTGGGTCTGTGGAAACCTCCCATCAGCAGGCCAGAGAGCTGAGAGGTTATCAAGGGCCACGAGCAGCAGCATCTGAAAACTCATCAGACATACACTTTCTGGGCCCTGGCCCAGGAACTGAACACCCTGGAGGTGGGGCCTGACACCCTGTTTTAACAAGCTGAAGGGACAACACAGATATGTCTGAAGCCTGAGAACGACCTGGTTATGGAGTTCTTACTATGCTCTTGTTGGGTTTGCCAAATTGATGAGGAATTTCCAACCCGGAAAGGAGCTGGCACCATCACCAGACTCCTGGGGGACCTCATTGCCATGCTGGTTCTGAAGAATTTCAAAGCGAAGTAGTGCAGAAACTCTTCCTGATCCCCTGATGACAAAGCTGCTGGCCAGGGCACAGAGCAGCCAGGCTGCCTTCGGCCCTCTTCCAAAGAGCACTCCTGTTCCATAGTTCTTTGCCTGGTACTGCTTACTGGGTGGTTAAATTATTCAGCAGCCAATTAGAGCTTAACAATGTCCCTGTCTCCTGACCAAGTGATTTGCTTCTGCATGGCAAGTGCTTTTCCAACATAAAGCAAGGCAGTGTTTAGGAATTTAGCATCTGGAAGCCCCCCCCCCGCGCACCCCCCATACCCTGTCACAGCCTGCCAAGTTCGAACCCAGCAGCCCCTCTCCTTGGGCAGATCTGGGTGGTCAGATAGATGCAAATGCAAGATCCCAGTGCCACTCCAGACTCACAGAATCTAATGCCATAGGAGCATCTTGGGAATACAGGCGTTGAATGAATCTCCCTAATCATTCATTATTGCCGGGCAATGTCTCACAGCCCCTGACCACCCCAGGATAGAGAGTGACCTCTCCATCCTCTTAGTTCCCACAGGGCTCACTGCCTGGGCCCTGCTCCAGTTGCTCACACACATGATCTTACATAACACTTCTAATCACTGCCTGCCAAGCCCGTTCCTCCTCACTGAATACAAAGGTGACCAAGAAAGGTGACCCTGAGCCCCCACTCGGAAGCCCTGTGTTTGATGCTGGTCACCGGGGAGTCCTCGGGATATTCTGAGGGGTGAGCAATCCCAAAGGTGTGAGAAAACATACACTCTGAAGGAAGCAGAACGGGTGGTAAAAGGCTAGGAAGGAGGCCAGCCCTGGAGGCAGAGGCTGGGTGAGCATCACAAAGCCAAAGCCCACCTTGTTGGGTGTGTTCAAAACTAACCCGGGGAGAAAGAGGCTGGGGAAACAGAGCACACACTCTCACTTCCCCACCTCTGCCTCTCAAGAGCCCTTTCACTGACACAGAGAAAAGGTGATGGTAAAGCAGACAAAGAAGAGCACCAAGAAAACAAGCCTGCTTCATCAGAGGGTTCTCACCAAATGCCCAGGTAGTGGGGGATAGGGATGGCCTTTGGCAAGGGAGCTGCCAAGCTGAGGAGCTTTTGGGGGCTACAAGGGAACTTGCTGGCACTCAGACTCGGCCCCATCCAACCCCTCCCAACTTCCCCGAATCAGACAGGAAGGCTGGTAGCATGAAATAAGTCCAAAGGCTCAGAGGCCTGAGACAACAAAGTGTACTTCATGCTTGTCAAGACGTCCGCTGATTCTTCTCTTCACACCCACCTTATCTAGATCTGCCCTAAGCTCCCCTCCCAGCAGAGTGAATTTTGGTCACATAGCATGCTTCTTCCAGGCCTAGAACCAGGTCCTGGACCGTCATGGAAGGCTGCATTATGCTGCAGTAACAGCAATTACCTCTAGAATCTCAGGGCTCCAAACAGTCAAGCTTATGTTAAGGGACACGGGGGAGTTTCTTTGTGAAGTCATGAAAACATTTTTAAATTAGACAGTGGTGATAGAAGCACAACCCTGTGAATATACTAAAAACCACTGAACTACACACTGGAAAAGATGAACTGTAACTCACTAAGGCTATCAAAACAAATCCAGGTTTATTTCTCCCTCATGAATGATCCCTGCAGCTATAGTCTCACAAGTGCTTTGCCTCTTGGAGTCACTAGTGTGTCAGCTGATGGAGTGACACCATCTTGAATGCTGCTGACTAGACTGTCCTGTAAGCTCTGCTGAACCCAGCAAGTAAATGCTCTGACCTGCAAGTGAAACTCCTGCTCCTCTCACAAGTCCCCAGGCAGGACTCACCCCAGACCCCGTCCCACCACAAATAGTGTAGGAAGGGCAATCCTGGCGAGGGCCATAAGATACCAGAAGAACCAGCCCAATGACCTCCTCCCACAAACACACACAGAAGGCCACCCAGAACTGGTGCTCAACAGCTCCATCAACATTTAGTCCTTTCTTTTTCCTGTAGGAAGCCAAACTTTCTTTTCTTATTTCTCATTTTCACCTCCAGCTGAAGAGCTTCCAGAGCAGAAAGAAGAAACTATGAAGGTGATTGAAACATGATTTCCAAAGAAAACGACACAACATACAACATAACAACATTCTAATACATAACAAAACACGATACAGGTGTAATAGGAAGATAGAGTGTGCACAGTAATGACAAGATAGATATCACATGCCACTGTCAGAGTAAGACATAGGTAGAATAGGCATGAAGGAAACTTTTGGGCATGAGTTTAACAACTATTCAACCTTCCAGCAGATCAAGAATACAGAAGACGGCCAGAGAAGGCCTGACCTATGAGCCTGGCCCCCAGAAAATCCATCAAAAGGAACTTTAAGAAACTGTCCTTTTCCTTTTGTTCCAAGAGAGATGGGTGGGAAAAAACTTGGAAAAGAATACTTGGTGCTGCAAATAAGAACAAGAAGTCTGTGAGCTGAGGCCAGGGCTGAGGGAGGAGGGGTCAGAGGCCAAGATCAGAGACTACTGCTCATCCAGGCATGCCTATCATGGATAGGGGCTTGGGAGAATTTAGACCCAATAAAAGAACCCAGAAAAGCATCCAGGGAGTTGGGGATCCTCCTTGGCTCATAGTTGTAGGGTTCTGGCCACAGGCACAGCCATAGCATTCTAGGAGGTGCGTAAATCTAGAACGGTTCATGAATGGAGCCTTTGGGAAGGACACTCCCTGATGTCTTCCAAGGTAAGCACTTCTGGAGAAGTCAGCTCTCTCTGTGACAGCCCCATGGATAGACAGCTGCCCTGCAGGCACTGACACACCAGAGCCTGTTGAAGCTAAGTGGACCTTTCCTAGAGCATCCTAAATTCACCATGGCCTATGAAGAGGCTCTGAGTCCTTATGTGCATGTGGATGGATGCAATCCAATTCTGCAAATGTTTGCAAGTGAGAGCAAAGCAAGACCTTCACTGTGTGAGCTCTCAGGTCCTGGGGAGGCAACCACATCACCCAGCATGAGAGGAGCTATAGAAGCAGTGTGTCTGGGAGCAGAGGTGGCACAAAGATACTGAGGAAGGAGCCTAGGAATCATGGGAGGCTCCTGGAGGAGGTGACAGTTGAGCTGGGATTTGTAAAATGGACACATCAGGCTGGGGATTTAGCTCAGTGGTGCTGCACCTGCCTCGCAAGCACAAGGTCCTGAGTTCGATCTCCAGTACCCCCCCAAATGGACACAACTCCAGCAAGCATGAGCTTGGGTGGTAGTGGGCAAGGAGGGCTTTAGGGGGAAGATATGGCATTGAAAAATGACAGAGACATGACACAATGAAACACGTTTGAGGAAATAATATAAATGTGAGAGGAATTTGAAGAGATGAGCCTGGAGGTGCATGCAGGGACAAGAGCACCAAGGGCCTTGCCTTAGACAGAGGGAGCAGGTTAGGGGTGATCAAAACACCCATAGCCCGGGAATAAGATAGGGACTGAAGCAAGGTAGCAGTGTGGTGGGCACTGAGGATAGCTCATAGCTTGGAGAAACACTTAAAACACACAATTCTACAGCTAGGTAATTGGCAAAAAGTGGAAGAGATTAGGAGGAAGGGAAGATGTGGAAGAGCCTGCAGAAGTAGCCCACAAGGCACACAAAGGTCGGTAAGATGGGGCAGCTGATGGCCGGATAGTGAAAAGGGGGTAGAAAAGGGAGGTCTCCACACAGATCATGTTGCAGAAATCTGGCTTCAAGGCACAGGCAGAAGGATGGGAGGTAGAGGGGCCAAGGGCCACAGGAGTGCAGCTTCCCCTGGGGTTTAGGTGAACATGTTTCTCTCCTGAGGGAAGGAGTCTGTAGAGAGATGGGCTTTGAAGATGAAGGGTGGTAAAAAGGGGCTAGGCATTAATGCAAGGGTGGACATGGTCTGGAATACACAGTCAGGGAGCCTGGGCAGGGGACCAGGAACTGGGGACGTCTAGTCTCGCCATGGCAGGCCAAACTCATAGGAGATGGTGTCCATCGAATCACAGCTGACAGAATACCAAACATATTTTTGTGCAGTAATTTTTATTTGTATAGAAGTCTTGATTTCTTAAGATATATCATGCTTGATCTCACTTGTTTCTCACAGTGATATTGTGAGATGGGCATGAATATTCTAATTTGACATGAAGAGAGTGGTGGTGGAGCCAGCCTTGGCATCCAGTCTTCCATACTGGAGTCTGCTGTCACCCTGACTGTGGGGGGATTCAATTCTCAAATCCCAGAGGACACTTGTGCTCACTCATCCAGTCTACTGCTAAACATAAAATGGTAATCCACTCCTTTAATCTTACTTGACATTGCCAAATACACATAGCATCAGGCCTAAACATGATAGCCTCAGTAAGCATGCTTCATAAATGCTTCTCTGGGTACACGGGCTGCCCTGGCATGCTGCTGGAGACCTCCCCTCCCTCTTCTCTCCATCAACACCTTAGGAAGCAGAGGTTGGGTTCCACCTCATGGCACTGGAATCTCTTAGGAAGCCCCTGAGGAAATCCCAAGCTCAGGCTGCACCCTGCTCATAGGATCATAGCTTCTGAGGGTGGGGACGAACATCAAGGACATCCAGACTATTCAGCTGCATAG